ACAAAACAAAGCAAAACAACACACAACACAACACAACACAACACAAAAAACAACACAACACAAAACAAAACAAAGCAAAACAACACACAACACAACACAACACAACACAAAAAACAACACAACACAAAACAAAACAAAGCAAAACAACACACAACACAACACAAAAAACAACACAACACAAAAAACAACACAACACAAAACAAAGCAAAACAACACACAACACAACACAACACACACACACAAAAAAAACGTAAACCGGTGATGGACAGGCCATTCATTAAGAGTGTTTCAATTTTTTTTTTTTTGAGAACGGATGGCTGCATAGAAGAAAAATACAATTAAATAAAAACCTGGCTTTGTACACAATAAATATATTGTTGGCTGTGTGGCGAATTTCTTATATTAGACTTTGGATAAAAGCATCTGCTACAGTAAATGCATGAATGGAAATGTTTCTGAACAAGACACTTGACTTCATGGCTGCTCCAGATGGACTGTCCTTGTCCCCTCTCTATAACTTAGCTATCAGTTGTAGAGAATGAAGTACAACTGGTAAACAGACTTGTTTGTCGTTCTGCCCACACAATAACAGATTTGCCTTGGAAATGCTTACAGGTTTCCATCAAAAAATTTCCCAAAACTATGCAAAGCTGCAGAAGGGTGTCCCATTACTGACGGCCATAATGAAGAAGATAGAAAGGATTGGGTTACTTCATTAGAGGTTCATCAGATGACCTTTGGTTTGGCCTCACCTTATCATGGTTTACATTTATGATGGCAGTATAGTCAAATATGATGTGTTAAAATAACGCTAAGGGCTTCAGGATTTAACTGCAATATGTTTCTTAGTCTACTGACACCTGTAATTGTATTATTATTTTTAAGTGGATTTGAGATGGCTGCTTCACAGTTTAAAATGCAAATGGGATGCTCAGAATTTATTACCTTAATCTATATGTCCAGTCTGTTTGAGAGCATGCACACAAATGTACCTACATACAATTTTTCAAGTGTCGAACATCTGATTTCATATATCATACCTCAAGGTTTTGGATGAGAGATGCATAACACATTTGTAGATTTCCAAACCCTCCAACATCTTGGTCTCAAAGTCTTCTTTTATAATGTCATAATCCCATTTAACCGCATTGGTTTTCAATGATGAGTTCATAAACTATAGGCATTGTGCTGCATATAATGCTCGACTATTATCAAGTCAAGCAAAATATCACATTAAAGCCTCTCTTGTTCATCAGTTCTACTTGGTATAAAGACAGCGGACACAAAAATATAGATTCACAGTTACTCACTCATCTCAAGCTGGCTCTTCTTTTACCCCATCAGATGAGGCAGGTGTCCTGGACGTTGAGGCTGTAGTTTGCGTCTTCGTTGCCTGTCGGAGAGAATGAGATGTGTCAGTGTCTTTTCTCAATGCGGACTCTCTGTCTTTGTTCATCTACCGCACTTTTCCGCACTACCGTTTTACATAGAAAAACAAAAACACCAAGAGTCACTCTACCACTTTCTTTCTTTTTTTAGTCTCTCGCTACCACTGTGTTGTAAAGAATGGCAGCATTTGAATACTGGAGCAGCAGGCAGGAGGAAATGCACAGTGAGTAGTCAAATACAGCCGCCATGCAGATCGACAGTGTAAACTCTACAATCCTTACCTGAGAGAGAACCAAAGAGGGAATAGAGTATACATACCTGACCTGAAGAGAAGACTGTGTGCCAAAAGCCTTCCATCTTTACTCTACCAAAAAGTTACTCTGACAGTACCATTGTGACACACACACACACACACAATTTTGTGAATTGAGGGGACATTCCATAGGCGAAATGGTTTTTATACTGTACAAACTGCATGTGCTATTGCCCTACACCAACCCTACCCCTAAACCTACCCCTCACAGGAAACTTTGTGCATTTTTACTTTCTCAAAAAAACTCACTCTGTACGATTTATAAGCGTTTTGAAAAATGGGGACATGGGGTAATGTCCTTATAAGCCACCTTCTCCGTGTAATACCTATGTCATACCCATGTCATTATACAAGTTTGTGTCCTCATATGTCACAAAAACACGCACACACACACACACACACACACACACACACACTAATTCTGATTAAAAGAAAACTTGTTGGTACAATTCTGTTGATGAAAATGTTCTTTTTAAGCTGTAAAGTAAAATAAAATAAATTAAAAGTTCACCGACACGGAAACTTTTGGCTTATTGGACATTCTTATTCATAAGCAGCAAAGATCAAGCTGCATGTATTATTTCATGGATGTTTCCATTTCCTGCTGTGTCTGTATGCAAAAAAGAGACAAAAAAAAGGTGTTGTCTTCATTGAACTGAAATAATTTATTCACGTAACGTGCAAATACATAAACATTTCCTTCAAATTGATAACTCCGCACCTCAGCATTTACATAATAGTCAAATAAACACATCAGTGTAACCTTCACATCCATCTGTACCATTGAAACAACATTACATAATACATGAATGCCCTTGCTGGATTTGTTCATCAATATTCTGCTAATGTTATATAGTGGCTGCAAAAAGTATTTGAACACTTTAAAATGTATGTCTTGTCACTGCAATACACAGCAAAATATAGTATCAAAGCAAGCTGCTGACAAATGCTAAATATCATGCGATATGTAATGTGATGAACTAGACCTGTGTATTTTTTGAGAACTGACTTCATAAATCCATAAAAACCAAAACACCAGCTGATTTAAAGACACTAAGCAAAAATAAATAATAAAATTAAATTAAAATAAACCCCTGACCCTCCCAACATAGGACAATATTGTTTTACAATACATAAACAAATACAATACATAATATAAAAATAAAATAAAATGCCTCAGTAAATGCAGTTTGTTTTGAGAAAAGCTTTAGGTGTACAAATACTTTTTTGGGGTCATTGTATATTATGCAGAAATTAAAGACATAAAACAAAACAAAAACTCTTCGGTTGGTATATTAGTGAAAAAATTGTTTCAAAACATTACAATTCTGTCATTACACGTGAAATCAACATTGCCATGTTGGCAAGACAGTATTTTCAGAAAAAGCCACAATATTCTTTTTATTCTAGAACTATAGCCCTAATATTAAAGAAAAATTTTTTTTTTTTAAAAACAACCACCACAAAACACATTGCATCACTGATTTTCATTAACTTCACATTCTCCATTGTCTGATCATGTTTCTGGGAAATATTGAGATCTGCTGTTTTTGTATTGAATATTCTAAAGGGCCAGATCATCTCATAAGCATCCTCTCCCTCTCCTCAGGATCTCTCTGTGTGTGAGATACAAGACCAGTCTGTTTACATAAATGTTTGAATGTGTTTATGAGTGTGTCTGTAAACTCTAGCAGCTTCTATGTGAAAAATGATTCAGCTTCCCATGTTGCCAAACCCTGAGCCTGTGTGAATGTGTGTGCACAGGAAGAGTGAGAGACTGAGATTTCATATCCGTCTATGCACTTTCTGCATGAATGATTCTGGCAGTGAATCATTTTGACCTATTAGCATTTGCTTAATGAAAAGTGCAAATAAAAGGTCTTTTTTTTTTCCAACAGGAGTGTAAAAAGTACAGGGAAATTGTACTCAAGGTAGAGTACGGGTATGTTTTTTTTCCCCCTCTAAATTTTACTCAGTTGTAAGTGAAAGTATCCAGCTGAAAATATGTTTGTGGGAATGTATATAAAAAAAAGAGTCTACATTTAATTGTAGTTAAGCAGTAGAAGTAAAAAAAAAAAATCTTCTTCAGAAATAGATGAGGAAACAAGATTATCCCATTAAATCAACATTAATACTTGATGCAAAGTCAAGTTTGCACGTCTTATCTTGGTCTTCAAGTTTATCCAGTCAATAATTAGATAAATATAACTTTTGAAATGTTTAAACTATGATAACTTGCATTTTTTTTTTTGTATTTTGAAGCTCTAAATTAATTTGTAGAGACTATTAAGTATGCTTTTTTGAGTAAGAGTAGGAGTATTCAGTTTCAGTAGTAGTCAAATTGAAGTCTAAACTTTGTAAAATAATACTTTAGCATATAATTAAGTACAATTACTCCAGTACTTTACACTCCTGGCTTCCAAAAACATATTCAAGCATATTCAGTAACCAAGCAGAACTGGAGTGGCATTTTATTGCCTATATTTGTTTACACAGTAACACACACAGAGAGAGAACAAAAAAGCACCCATCTTATCTCTGATAATTTTTAACCTTGAATTAAGCCATATTTGGAAAATGCCATACTGTAAATCATTCCTGCAGGTAGGGAGTTTTATAGCCACTCAGTCTCTTTGTTTAAGGTAAGTTAATTACGTTTTTACACCCTTTAATGGTTCGTGTAGTCAGGCGATCATACACTACATGGTCAAAAATATGTGGATAATGTTGGAACATTTAGACACAAGGAGACTGCATTGATACATACTTGATTTTATGCTCCTGTTAGTAACAAGGCGTGGCTGAAATAGCCAACCTGTTAAAGGAATAGTTCAACCATAAATGAAAATTTGCTGAAAATGTACTCATCCTCAGGCCATCCAAGATGTAGGTGAGTTTGTTTCTTCATCAGAACAGATTTGGAGAAATGTAGCATTACATCACTTGCTCACCAATGGATCCTCTGCAGTGAATGGGTGCCGTCAGAATGAGAGTCCAAACAGCTGATAAAAACATCACAATAATCCACGTTTGAACTTTTCTGCCCAAAATTGAGTCCATAATCCATAATATTAAGTATGATTTTTGTAAATGTTCAGTGAAAAAGTTCATGCCCCGTTGTCCTCACATCAAAATCAAATTATTTAGAACTTCTTATGCTTGTAAACAGTACTTGATCTATGAATATTTCTCTCCTGATTCAGATGAGACGACTTTTTCCCACTGAAGAAAGCAATAATATGGAAAGAGGACTCATATTTTGGCTTAAAGCAATGGTTTGAAGTTAAAAATATCTTAAAGGGGTCATATGATGCTGCTAAAAAGAACATTATTTGGTGTATTTAAACATTACAATTCTGTCATTACACGTGAAATCAACATTGCCATGTTGGCAAGACAGTATTTTCAGAAAAAGCCACAATATTCTTTTTATTCTAGAACTATAGCCCTAATATTAAAGAAAAATTTTTTTTTTTTAAAAACAACCACCACAAAACACATTGCATCACTGATTTTCATTAACTTCACATTCTCCATTGTCTGATCATGTTTCTGGGAAAATATTGAGATCTGCTGTTTTTGTATTGAATATTCTAAAGGGCCAGATCATCTCATAAGCATCCTCTCCCTCTCCTCAGGATCTCTCCGTGTGTGAGATACAAGACCAGTCTGTTTACATAAATGTTTGAATGTGTTTATGAGTGTGTCTGTAAACTCTAGCAGCTTCTATGTGAAAAATGATTCAGCTTCCCATGTTGCCAAACCCTGAGCCTGTGTGAATGTGTGTGCACAGGAAGAGTGAGAGACTGAGATTTCATATCCGTCTATGCACTTTCTGCATGAATGATTCTGGCAGTGAATCATTTTACCCATTAGCATTTGCTTAATGAAAAGTGCAAATAAAAGGTCTTTTTTTTTTTCCAACAGGAGTGTAAAAAGTACAGGGAAATTGTACTCAAGGTAGAGTACGGGTATGTTTTTTCCCCCCTCTAAATTTTACTCAGTTGTAAGTGAAAGTATCCAGCTGAAAATATGTTTGTGGGAATGTATATATAAAAAAGAGTCCACATTTAATTGTAGTTAAGCAGTAGAAGTTAAAAAAAAAAATCTTCTTCAGAAATAGATGAGGAAACAAGATTGTCCCATTAAATGAACATTAATACGTGATGCAAAGTCAAGTTTGCACGTCTTATCTTGGTCTTCAAGTTTATCCAGTCTTTTTTACCTATTCATTTAATAAGAATAGGGTGTCTACATATTGTAGTGTGCATTCTCATTTCCAGGAGTTCCAGTTATTAAATATGTTTGTTTTAACTCATTAGTTTGATTTTCCAGGTGGGCCAGATGGATGTCAGAAGCGAGCCACTTCAGTGAGGCTGGGCATTGCTCCCTGATCTAGATGCAGCTGGTGCAGTCCTGTGTTAAAACTGGCACACAGGAGACTGCTGCAGTCACACGGAGCCAGAGACACCAAAGGCCCTGAACCGTCCAGCGTTAACGTGTACAAACACGCTGAAGAAAGAATATGGAGGAGACAAGAATCAAGCCATGTAGATTTTAAGCTGATTTGACTTTTTTCCTTGATTATACCAACCTGACATGTTTAGCAAAAGCTGTTTGCTTCAGAGAGCATGACACACATGAAATATAATGTGAAAGGGTGTTAACCGTTGCCTTTGACTTTGTTATTTAAAGGAGAAGCGTGTCATTTTTTTATATTTCAGAACCATTTACATTTAAACTCCACATATCATCAAAAACCTGGCTAAAATATATTTATTTTCACAGTAAATCACAGCTCTTAAAGGCAGAGTAAGTGATTTCTGGTAGCCAATGTTGATATTTGAAATCACCAAAACTCTGCCTTTAAATAATGGTTATCTAAATGTGTTGGATTTTAAAGACCCTTTAAATACTACTCACAGAAAAAAAAACACTGTTTGGGAAACTTATGTAATCTTTATGCATGTTTAAATTAAATCAATGATTTATATATTTTTTAAAATATATATATTTCTAATGATAAATTAGAAATTAAAAGAAGGTCTAGGGTCAGTAAGATATTATGCTTTTAAAAGAAGTTACTAACACTCACCAAGGCTGTATTTATTTAATCAAAAACACAGCAGTAACAGAAATATTGTATAATATTATTACTATTTAAAATAAGCTGTTTTCTGTTTTAATATATTTGAAAATATAATTCATTCCTGTAATACAAAGCACTTTTCAGTCTCAATACTCCAGTCTTCAGTGTCACATGATCCTTCACAAATCTTTCTAATATGCTGATTTGAATATTACTGACCTAAAACTTTTAAATGGTAGTGTATATATTATTTAATTTAAATGTATTAGTAATACTAAGTTAATTACTACGTGGCATATATTTAAATATTTCGATTCAATTAAAAATATGTCAGCCAGAGGAGATTGGCTTCCCCAGCCAAGTCTCTCAAAGTTTCTTTTTCACTTACCTAAACATTTAAGAGAGTTTTCTGACTTGCCTTCTATAAACAGGAAACTGGCCTGTTAACAAATGAGCCACCTGGCCAATTCACTTGTGTATGTTTAAAAACACATTACAAGTATGTGTGTGTGTTACCTGCAGTGTTCTGATCCCATATTTTTACTGAGCTGTCATATGCCGATGACGCCACGAGAGCAGGATATCCGGGACGGGGAGGCACAAACACGCAGCATGCTGTGGTCTGCAGGTGTCCTCTGTATTCGGCCACCTTACAGCCGGGCTGTCTGAGGTCCCACAGCTACACACAAGCATAAACACACAAATGTATAAATTCATGTACATGCCCAACTGTGTCCTGGCAGTATCTGTATACACACTCACCGTGGCCTCACAACCCTGACCACCGAAACCATTGCTGGACGACAGCAGGTGGTAACAGTTGGAACTGATGTCACAGTGTGTCTGGATGTACTGCTTTGCCGGAAATGTGTTAGTGACCTGCCAGGTACGGCTATCCCACACCCTGAGACAGATAACACACAAATCAAAATCATTAATATAGCGTTTTTCATAATATGCATTGTTTCAAAGCAGCTTTACAGAAAATTGATGACGACAATGTTTATTTTCATGCCTTACATCACTCACGAATGGATCCTCTGCAGTGAATGGGTGCCGTCAGAATGAGAGTCCAAACAGCTGATAAAAATATCACAATATTCCACAAGTAATCCACACCACTCCAGTCCATCAGTTAAAGGCACAATATGTAATTTTGCCGCTAGAGGGCGCGTATTCAAAACAAACAAAGAAACAAAGGCGTAGTTAGATGACGCCGTGATTGAGTGTGGAATCATGGGAGTTGTCGTTAATAAAAAAATCTTACATATTGTGCCTTTAACATCTTGTGAAGTGAAAATCTGCGTGTTTGTAAAAAACAAATCCATCATCAAGACGTTTTTAACTTTAGATCATTGTTTCCGGCTAAAATATGAGTCTCTATCCACAATATTGTTTTTTCAGAGGAAAAAGTTGGTCTCGTTTGAATCAGGAGAGAAATATAGACAGATCAAACACTGTTTACAAGTGAAAACAGTTTAACATAGTTCTAGTCGGTGGATTTTGATGTGAGAAAACTTTTTCATTTGGGGAAGCATTATTACAGTTTATGGTATATTGGCCAGAAGCAATTGTTTAAAGTTAAAAAGCCCTGATGGATTTGTTTATTACAAACACGCAGCTTTTCACTTCGCAAGACATTACCTGATGGACTGGAGTCGTTTGGATTACTTGTGGATTATTGTGATGTTTTTATCAGCTGTTTGGACTCTCATTCTGACCCGTTCACTCACAGAGGATCCATTGGTGAGCAAATGATATAATGCTATTTTTCTCCACATCTGCTCTGATGTAGATATCATTTACACAATCACTCAGCTTATTTGTTTAGCAAATATTTCCAGAGAAATGCATCTCTGTAAACAATAACCATTCTCCAACATAATGGATCATATGACATATCAGGAAACTTCTGACCTGATCGTTTTGTCTTCTGAGGTTTGGACAATAGATGTGCTTCCTGGTACCCAGCACACATGGGTCACCTGAAACGGAGGGCAACGGGACAAGACACGAATCATATTCAGTGACCAAAAAGAATTTTAACCCATACACAAGAATAGTAGAACATAAAGTAAATTTCTGAATACAGCCTTTCTAACCAGGTTGCGTGAGATGGTGTGTTTTTGCAGACATTCTCCCAACTCAATGTCCCAGAGGTGCATGGAGTTATCACGAGAGCCCGTGCACAGCTTTGAGCCATCTACGAATGAATAAAACCACATGAAAGGATTGTGTTTGAGATTTTGTGGTCATTGAGTGTTTTTCTTTGAGGGTTTGTTCACCTGGGCTTACCGCTACCCCGTTAACTACAAGCTCATGGCCACAAAACTCCTGGACGGGTTCTGTATCTCGACCCAGATCCCACATCAGCACCGTCTTATCACGGGACGCACTGAAGATCAAGGAACTTCCTTTAAAACAGCATAACTAAAGGAAAACAGAGAGATTTGTATACACAAAGTACATAAAAAACACTTGCATGATCTCCATGTGTGCAAAATAATTAAGCAATCTTTGTTTTATTCATTTTTGCTCCCCCAATGAAAACTGTTCCAAAATAAGTCAAAGCTTTTTTTGTTGAATCAAATTAGAGGCACTAACTGTAGTTTTAATACCTTTGTAATCTCTCTGCTGTGGCCCTGGAAAGATTTACACCGTTTTCCAGCTCTCCATTCATAGACAACAACAGCCTGACCGGAAAAAAACAACAATGACGATAGCATATTAAAATCCACATAATGTAAATCAATGAACAAGATATTATGACGATTATTACCTGTTGATTTAAAGCCTACAATGTGGAGTGTGTAATTTCTGTGCCAATAGTGGCGCAAAACTGAACTGCAAAAATAACTAGATTTTTACATGCTTGATGTTATCATTTTGTACGAGCATTGCTATGTGGTTTCTAAGATGTGGATTTTAGCATGTGCAGTTGCTATGATGTTCCGTGTGTTTGCAGCAGTCAAAACTAGAGTTTCAATGACAGTCACAATGTAAATATAAAAAAAAATGTATTTGACCACAGAATGTTGTTTTTGACCAGAATCAAATATTCTACAGATTTAAAAATTTGTTTAAATAACAGCAATAAAGCACCACTAATAACACTTTACAAACATACAGAAGCCCACTGAGACTACAAAAACTAACATTTCATTTATGTATTGATAAGTAGAGTTTACAGTGAGATTACAGTTCTCTTTCACTAGTGTTTTTGAGTTTAATTTTATACAATTAAATTATTAATAAATATTTGAATTAGTATTTATTTCTAGTTTTCATTTTAAGTTTGGTTTAAGTTTTATTTTTTTATGTGCTTCGTCTTTTTTTACTTAGTTTTTAATACAGATTTTATTTTGCTTTCATTTATTTTTATTTATTATTATTAATTTGAGTAATTTTAGTACGTCAACTTAAACGTATGAGTTGAGACAACAAATAACTTCTCATTTTCACTGACGTTTTTGACGTTTTTTTTATACTTTATTTTAATTAACAAAACGACTTTTAATCTAACATTTCATTTATGTATTGATAAGTAGAGTTTACAGTGAGATTACAGTTCTCTTTCACTAGTGTTTTTGAGTTTAATTTTATACAATTAAATTATTAATAAATATTTGAATTAGTATTTATTTCTAGTTTTCATTTTAAGTTTGGTTTAAGTTTTATTTTTTTATGTGCTTCGTCTTTTTTTACTTAGTTTTTTATACAGATTTTATTTTGCTTTCATTTATTTTTATTTATTATTATTAATTTTAGTAATTTTAGTACGTCAACTTAAACGTATGAGTTGAGACAACAAATAACTTCTCATTTTCACTGACGTTTTTCAACTAATATTTATACTTTATTTTAATTAACAAAACGACTTTTAATAGTTTAATTTAACAATAATAACACTGATTACATGGTTTACTTCTAATGTTTCACTGCATGGTTTTATATCGTATTTGCACATTTCTTTAAAGGTAAACAAATGATAAAATGCTTTGCAAAGCCACAATTCATTCCAATCAGTTTGAACCACTTTATGAGTTAGCCACAATAACCAAGGTGGGTGGAGCTTAGCGAAGGGTCAACCATTTGTGCAATTCCATCGGGTGCTGTGCAACACCACACTAACACTCATTAATCTCCAAACCTCCCTATTCAAAGCTTCTCCAGCTCACCTGGTCATGCCCTCCTGACACGCACAGGTCAGAGGTCAAGCTGACGACACAGTTGATGGCATCTGTGTGAGCGGGTTCATACTGCACTACCTGGTGCACAGGTGTGGGCTCCGCCCCCTCTTTGGCCCTGTCAACAATACAGCCTCAATGACCATAAATTCTTCACAGCCAGCTGTCAAAACTCCACTGCTCATCATTTCTCACTTATAAAGGTCCGAGCGCCTCCGGAACTTGCTCTGTAGTTTTCCCATGCTTATATGGGTGTCCAATCACCCGATATCAGGACATCTTACTCATCTCTCCACAGCACAAGCCATCTTCAGACTCTTTCGGGATCTGTGAGAATTACACACAGGGTTTTTTTTTTATTAAACGTTGATGAAGATATCAAACCCCTGGCAACCTCACAAGGGAGCTATTACCTGCCAAGAACAGATGCTGATGTTGTCTCTAGCATAAGCTGGTAATCAGTTATGTATTGGGTTCAGTTATGTATGTACACAGCTTGCTTCTGAGAGCTACAGGAAGACAGGGAGGGCGACCTGAATCCTATTAAGTGCATTAGTGCCTCATCGCATTAGGTAACAAGTAGGATGCAATATGGCAATACTTGGTCAAACCAATAAATCCATCACCTGCAATAAACCTTGATATGAGACAGCTATACAGAGAGAGAGAGAGAGAGAGAGAGAGAGAGAATGTACCTGTGCAAAATGCATTGCTCTGTTGAAGGCAAACCAGCAAGAACTGCATGACAAACATACAACATCGCTTTTAACCCATGCATTTGCTATAACACTATAAGTTAGCGAGACCAAAACAAAACTTACAGTCCCGAGTCTTAAGACACTTAGCCGGATATCCCTGTCAGCGTGTCAGTGTTATTGTGAACGATTCGCATGGGTGTGTGTGATGTCCGAGCTGTCTGAAAGTACGTGAACGAAAGATTTATCTCGCATCGTGATCCGTTTCGGCTGTAAATCTTCAGCGGCTCCTCGTCTGCAGCTTCTCCATGAGCGACGCTTTCGCTGTTACCAGGCGAACGGAGGTCACGTGAGCGCAAAGGGGCGGGGCTTCAGGTCACATGGATTTTCGGAACAAAATATAATTACACCTTAAATACAAAAGTAAACGAAACAAAATGAAACTACACACACACGCACAATATATTACACCTACGTAAATTTAATTAAGTTGTTTAAGTTTGCGGTTACAAAACCAAAATAATCGAATAGTCGAGGCCTATATACATAAATCCAAAATAAGTCTAACTTTTACACCAAATATCTTTTTCAACAACAGATATGTCTTCTCAGCTTTACTGTTGTTTTTTAGGCTACAGAAATTAAAGAATAATAATTCTTTAAGTCAGTGGAAAATAGTCTAATATTAATTCAAAACATGTTCATAAGTTCAAAATAAGAAATGTAGGTTTGAATTGGGGGGGGGGTTAGACATAATATCTGTAAATGTCCTGTTATGAAGTAAATCAGCCTCATTAAGCATTATTTTCCCTCCATATTTAGTAGCCTAAGAATAATTAACTGCAATCCCATAACTACAATGTGAAATATATAGTGCATTAAAATGTTCGTTTTTAAATATAGGCCATTTATATCGGTACAAGTACCAAGTGAAACTGCATTTTTCAGAAGTCAGAAGTCAGAAAGAGCTTTATTGGCATGTTTCCACACAAGGAATTTGTCTTGGCGATATAGCTTCCAGTGCAGAATAAAGTACAGACATACTGCAAACTTACTTGATAGTGCAGACATGCCAACATAGGAATTACACAGTAGAGATGAAATATAACACTAATATAAGAAAATAATGCAATATAATACATTAGTAGAAATATCGAAATAATAGTAGAAACATTTTATATATAAAAACATATATAATTGTTTTAATGAATGTATATGTTTTTTTTTAACTATACAGTTTATGTAGTATACAAATGTACAATTTTCAGATGCTATGTATAAATTCCTCACACTGGAGGTGTAAAGATCTTGGATGTTGGGCAGGGGGAACCACTAATCTTCTCAGAAGCCCCGACTGTCCGGAACCTGTCAGGAACCTGAATGACTCCACTGCAGCCACAGTGCTGTTCATGATGGTGAGTGGAGGGAGTGCAGGGGGGTTTCTCCTGAAGTCCACTATCATCTCCACTGTTTTGAGCGTGTTCAGCTCCAGGTTGTTAAGACTGCACCAGACAGCCAGCTCTTTAACCTCCTGTCTGCAAGTAGACTCAGTTGTGTATGAGGCCGATGATGGTAGTGTCATCTGCAAATTTCAGGAGTTTGACAGAGGGGTCTTTTGCACTGCATTCGTTCGTATACAGGGAGAAGAGCAGTGGGGAGAGCACACATGCTCTGTACTGTCTCTGGAGGGACATGTAACATGTTAACAATGTTACATTTAATTAACAATTTTAATTTTAGTTACATTTAATGTTAGCAAAGTTAGCATTTAACAAGGGTTTGATTTTTTTCAGTCCTCAAAGCAAAGAAGGTGCCATAAAACTCTCTACATTAATATATTGCAATTGATTAACCCCCATTAACTTACTTTAATTTATATTATTATAGTTACAATAATAATAATAATAATTAATAGTAGTAGTAGCAGCCCTCCTATACCATCCGCCATGCTTTAGATTTAAAATGCACACTTTTTTAATAAAATGATGATACTGGTTTGGTCAGAGACCTTCAAACTGGTTGATTTTTCTAGTGAATCAGAAAGAGGCTTATGGGCTCTGCGGGTCACTTGACTGAAACAGCAACAATGTGCTCTTTGTGATCAAAGGCCGAACAACACAATGCTTGATATAGCTGAATAAATATTTCTAAGAACAGCCAACTAGCATATTTCAATAATCATCATTACAAATCACCATTAGACGACAATCCAACTATAATCGCAACATCCTACATTCATAACTCTGAATTTGTGCCTATAAGGTAACTGTAAAGTTGTGGTCAACTGGAGCTTATGATTTCACTAATGACTGCACACAGCCCATCCGCCCTTCAAAGTGAATCTTTGCAGTGAGACCTAGAAAGCATGATGGAATAGCTCAGTTCTTTATCACTCTAAACTTTAAATGTTGCTCTAAATGAATGAACTTAAAATGAATGGCCCAGAAGAGTCTACAGCTTTAAGAAAGGTAAGCCTTCATTTGACTTTTGAATTTACTGGGCACAACAAGGGCTCTCAGTGCATTATCCACAGGACTGAACATGGAAAAGCAATTGACATGCATGTGTTAAAAGACAAAAATATCCTAAAGACACCCTACAGAGCTTCTCCGTGGCTCTAAAGGGAATTTCATCCTGAATTAACTCTGAACCCATGCAGTTTTCACTGGTCATGCAATGAACAACAGCTCGATTGTATTTCTGCTAGTATATCTGTTATGCACCTTATCTAGAGCTCTAAGAGCAGTTCTGTCCTGGGATGAGTTCGCATTTCAGAGACAGACTGAATGCGTGATTAAGAGGTGTTTGGAATATTAAGTAAAAATGTTAAAATATTTTCGACGAGTTTCAAAAATGGGCAAAGACAATGGAGAGCTCAACAAATAAAGGTATGTTTAAAATAAAAATATATATTTTTAAATACTATTTATTATTATCGTTGTTGTTGTAGTTTGGTTAAAACAAACAAAGGTATGGTTAAAATACAGAAATTATTTAATTACTTTTTATCATTTAAAAAATATATTTAACATTTATTATTATTATTATTAAAAGCATTTATTACTATAATTCATCAGCTATAATGAACAGTGATGGACATGAAGTTGACTGTAATATTCATGCTATATTTTCTGCATCTTTCATATTACATACATTTTTTTAGCAGATTTAATGTATTGTATATTTCTGTATATTGCATAATTTCACAACTCTTCATTGTTCAAGTACTTCTGCTGTTGCAATCCTGCAGTTTCTCTTTCTTTACTCTTAACCACTATACATATTAGTTATTAATGATGAGTTTAAATCAAAATCGCTTTTGAACATGATTTTGTACTCTGTTATCTACAGGTTCCCAGTAAGTCTCTTCTTCTGGCTGTCTGTGCGGCTGGCATTGGTGGGACGTTTCAGTATGGATACAATATATCTATCATAAACGCACCTACCAAGGTAATGTGTGCATTAATGTGATTATTCTTATCACTTTACTCAAGCCTGTTTGTGTTTACATCTAGAGCAGATTTTCTGCAGTATGCATTAGTCACATTACGTTCAGCACAGTATGCATGTGTGTGATGTATTTGTGTGAGTTATTGTTGTAGTAGCTCATCAGACTAAAAGTCACATGAAATCTGTAGATAGTTAATATATCACATGGATATGGATTTTGGTCCCTGGCACAGTTTTGCTAGTTTGACCCAAAAATATAACAAAATTTACTGAATCCAAAACCCACATTTGGGTTTTGTACACATTTTTATACAGGTGAATATAATAAAACCTAAATTCTGTCAGGACCACTATCGTCAAAGATGATTGACAATTAGCATACAGTTTGGATTGGCGGTATGGTTCTGTTCTGGGCAAGAACTCCCTGTGTATGAAAGTACTACTTAAGTGAAGACTTCTGACTGCATGAAAAAACAACAACACTTTTTTAAAAACAGCCTTTGTACTGTATTTGAAAACTACAGATGCAAATAGAGAAAGTGTAATAGAATAAACTCTAAGGCCTGGTTTCACAGACAGGGCTTAGGTTAAGCCAGGATTAGGCCATTGATCAAATAGCATTGATCAAAAAGTATCCTTTAAAAAACGGGCCTTAGAAAAAAAAAAACATTTCTGGTGTGCATCTTGAGACAAAACAATGGCACTGACATATTTTACATAAGATATGTCAGTGCAAGTTTCTTTCAGTTAAAGCAGCCAACACATGCATTTTAGTCTGGGACTAAGCTTAAGCCTTGCCTGTGAAACTGGGGGTATATGTGTATTTTGGATGTTTTCTTTCCACTGGTCGACATTATGGAAGCAAAATAGGCACAAAAAAAAACTCAAAACTGACCAGTGCATGAAAACACACTGGTTTTGCCTTAATTGTTAACCCAGGGTCATTGTTAACCATGTTTCACAATGTTCATACTTTACTTTAAATTAGTACTGACCTACTAAGAATAGCTTTCTTCTGTGGAACATGAGAGAAGATATTTTGAAAAAATGTCTCCGTGTTCTATTTTTGTTCATGTTACTATTATCTAAGTTAAAGCTGACCTTTCCTATCATGCAAGAGACAACTTTTTTTTT